ACTACACCAGCATGGATAGCAGGACCATGTCATGAGACACTACATACTATATGAAACCTACAGTGCAAGGAAAAGTATGTTGAACCTTTGGGGAATCACCTGGATTTCTGATAAATTGGTCAGTAAAAATGTGTTTCTGGATCTGCCGTTGAAGTTTGGCCAAAAGTACCCCTGGATGTTCCACAGCACTACGGCAAATATTCTTGTGGACCAAGGATGAAACCAAGCCATTTTGAGTGTTTGGAAGGAACCACCAACCAGACGCTATTGTGTGGAGGAAAAAATAAGGCACAGCACACCACATTCAACCTCATCCCCAACTTGTGGAAGTATGGTGGAGGGAGCATTCATGGTTTGGGGGGCTGCTTTGCCTGGCCCTCAGGCCCTGGACAGATATGCAATCAGACGGAAATATGTCCCCAAGTTTATCAAGACTTTTTATTTATTAAAACTGGAGAAGCTTAAGGCCTCATGTCCACCAATTTGGAAGCTCAACAGAAGATGGGTTATGCAACAGGACAAACGGACCCAAGCAACAGAAGTTAAATCAACAACCAGAATGGCTTCAACAGAAGGAAAAAATTACGCCTTCTGGAGGTGGGCCCAGTCAGAGTCCTGGACCTTCTAAACCCAATTGAGATGCTGTGGCATGACCTTCAATGAGGGCGAATTCCACACACATCCAATAATATTGCTGAACTGAAAACAGTTTTGTAAAGAGGAATGGTCCAAAATTCCAGTGACCGTTGTGCAGGTCTGATATGCAACTATCGGAAACGTTTGGTTGAGGTTATTGCTGCCAGAGGAGGGTCAACCAGTTATTAAATCCAAGGGTTGACATACTTTTTCCACCCTGCACTGTGAATGTTTACATGGTGTGTTCAATAAAAACATAAAAACATATAATTGTTTGTGTGGTTTTAGCTTAAGCAGACTGTGTTTGTCTATTGTTGTGACTTAGATGAAGATCAGAACACATTTTATGACCAATTTATGCAGAAATCCAGGTAGTTCCAAAGGGTTCACATACTTTTTCTTGCAACTGTATAATGAGCATAATAGGGCCCCTTAAAATGTGAAAGTGAAAAATGATATATATATTTTTTAGATTCAATCTAATGGAGCCTTGTCTGAGCAGGAACACTGAATGCACACCAGTGTTTTTGACCTGCTGTATTTACACACTAATCTTGCTGTCATGGTCCATGTGACAATGAATTCAGCCTGGCAGCTGTCAGGAAGCCAGGTCCCCTGCATCAGGGAACATGAATGGTGTCGGGTTAATGAGCTGATACAATTGAAATGAAAAAAATCCGGCCAGTCACATGAGCTGTGTCCAGTTTATACTTGGCTCCAGATTCCACGTATCCGAGCAGCGGGAGGGACGACAGCCCAGGGGAGATGTGTCACAAAGTTGGCTGTAATCTCTGACCACCAGCTGCACACAGCACCTGTTTATCTCTGCTAAAGAGCTTTTAAACAGCCACACACAGAGTTAACGTAAAGGTGAGACATATCGATCTCTCTGTGGACGCTGTTAGATGTGTGGAGTCTTTTAATGTGGGGGAAATCAAAGGTAAGAACGGGAAGAAACGCTACAGATGATAGCACCTGTCTGTCATATCCTCAAAGAAACCCTCCTTTGTCTCATATCCTTTGCATCTGATGCTCACTTTTAATAGTCCTGAGCTCTGAAGCATGAAACTAACTCTGTTTTTTTTCTGCAGCACAATCATTATTTAATCAGTGCTAAGAAAGGAGAACAGTGATAATAACAAGGAGCTGTTTCCCGGAGTTATTCTCCATAGGGTCAACCGAGGCACCATGGCAGGGAGAGAAACATGTTCCTGTCAGTGAATAGCACATTAAAACATTCACCATTTTAAAAAGAGCCACTGCAGTTATTCAGCCATATGTTCTAAAAACAGTTTGAGAATCTTTAACTATGCAATACGAGCAGCAATTACAGAGTAACAGTGGCGGCTCTTCCATGTTTTTCGACGAGAGCAGCTAAATGTAGACTTAGGTCTGGAAACAACAGTCATCTGTTTTTTTAAAAGGGGGACGTTTTTAAAATTCAGCAATTCATGTTCATCAAACCAGCCCAAACTGAAGGGTAATCCATGTAGATTGAACCAAGCCTAAAGGTTTAAAATGATTCAAAATGGCAGTAATCATATACAATTATTGTTGCATAAAGAAGGAGCCATACAGAAGCTATATAAGCAGGTCACAGAAGTAAGTAATTGGCAACCAGTTTTGGACAATGGTTAGCTTCAGTGGTAACTCATAAAATGAAAAAAACAGAAAGCAGTAAAATGTGCCCTTTTGTGTGTCAGTTATATTGTATTGTACTATGTAACCTAATGCTCAAAATTCTAACTATGTCTATTATCAGATAAAACAGAAACTACAAATAATTTTGTTTAGTTATTGTATTTAAGTTTTATCTATTTATTTCACATTTTCTTAATTAAGCTGATGCATTGTATCCCAATTATCGAAAATAGAATGACCCATGTTGGCAACCGTCTTTTAAGTTTCAGCAAGCGATGCCTGGTTGCCAGCATGGCTAAAAACTTTTTAAGGTTAGTGTTGGCTCCTGATTAGTGTCCAGGTGTATAAACAACCTGATATATAATAAGAGGTGTTAATTAAAAAAGTGAATTAATTTTATCATAATAGTAATCTATGATGAACATGATTAATCATAAGTTTAAAATATTACTATTTGATTGCATTATAAGGGGCGATAAAACAATAACATGTGTTATTGTAATAAAGAAATGCATAACAAGCTGATAACAGAAATCAGGCTTTACTTTATTATATGATTTCTTAGTTTCTGGCATGAAGTCTGACAATATTCCAACACTTAGCTAAAGCATGGACAAACCGCTGTCACACAGAGCCGCTGTGATCACCCTCTGTGTAATGTGTGATACAGAGGGAATATTATCTCTGCTGCTCTCATACTGCAGCTCTACCTGTTAGACAGTGGAGATTATGTCCACTGTCTCACACTGCTGTTCATCACAAGAAACTGGAGCATGGTTCAGCAGAATGCCTTTCCTCCATTTTCACCAAAGCTAAAGAACCAGTGCAGAACATTAGTCATGGATCAGGTGTCCCGTTACAGCGAGGTAGTGTTGGTTCTTACTGATGTCCAGTGGTCTGCAGTCAGTGCAATACATGTAGCTCGTGTCAGTTCTCCAGCTTTCTTTGCTTTTCACTGCCATGCGATTCATGGTAAACATCCCAACAACCCATTAATAGCAAGCTTTAATGGTTTGCTGACAGCCTGATTTAATATCCTGTTATGTCAAATGTTCACTCATTAGGTTAATGTATTAATGCATAATATTCTCAATTCTAATTTCGTTAACACAAAGATGATCATGCTTTAAAGTTAGCGCTGAACCCTGTTTAGTGTCTTAATGTAAATAAAACCATGATATATAATAGTACATCTCTGTAAAGCATGGTACTACATTCATGTTTTTGAAAAATGTCACTCAGCTCAATGTGACCCATCCGCCAGTGTGACCTATCTACTGAAGATCATGAGGCTAATTATATATTCCAGTGAGATGCTCGGCACAGCTCTGACTCCAGCCTGTTTACCCCGTTGCTGGGTGGGTTGAGGATGTTAATTTGGTAGGTCGTTGGATAATGGTCCACAGGGCATTGGAGAGTTGAGAATAAAAAATATATTCATCCACTAGATCCTCCAGTTAATTATTTTGATCAGCTACATTAAACCCAAGAGGTGTTTTCTACTTCAATTTTATTAAAACTTGACTCTAGGCACCAATAATTCCAACACAGACTTCTGTGGTATTATGAACAGCTCCTTCAATATCCTTTTATTAACTGAGGGAGACTTATAGGTGGAGAATATTGCTGTAAGAGTTATGAAAGAAGAAGCCAACATACGAAGCCTGGAAGTTATTGACATGCCTTAATAAGCTTTAATGTTTCATTTATCACAGAGGAGCTATTA